TGGCTGTTGATCTTCAAACAGGGTCCCATGGTCATAGAAACCAAAGCCCTGTTGCCAACACCAGTGGTGCAGCCAGTTGTTAACTTGGAAAACTTGTCTACTCCTCTTCCTGTCCTTCACCCTCACAGACAGGGTTGAGGAGAAAACCACCCGAGCTCCCAGACCCTTGACCACCATCCCGAGCTCTGAAATCCTGTTTCATGGTATCCAGTTTGCCCTTGGTGTCATTAGTGCCCACGTGGAAGAGCAGCAGAGGGTTATAGTCCAACGCATGGGCAAGTCTTGGCAGTCTTTCCATGACATCTCTTATTTGAGCCCCCGGCAGGCAGCAAACCTCTCTGGACAAGAGGTCAGGTCGGCAGATAGGTGCCTCTGTCCCCTGCAGCAGGCAGTCACCCACAACAATCACTCGCCGCTTCTTCCGGGGGTTCCTGCATGGCACAGGGTCTGTCAGGCCAGTAGCTTCCCTTGAAGCCAAGCCCAGCTCCTCCTCGGCCTGGAGGGTGCTAAACTTGTTTCTCAAAGGCAAGTCTTCAGGAGGAGCAAGAGCCTTTCTCCTTCTACGAGAAGTGACCAGTTTCCAGCCTTCTTCAACAGTGTCGTGATGTACAGTTTCACGCAGTACAGAGCCCTCCGGCAACTCCACTGCAGTGAGCTCCTGGAGCTGCATGGTTTCTGAGAATACCCTGTCTATTTCTTACTCATCTTCTCAGATGCTACACAGCCTACTGACTTCCTCCCGTAACTCCTTTACCTGGCAATACTACTCACCAACCACAGCACACCTTCTGCAGGAGAGCTGACTGTCAGCCCAGGCCTCACAGAGAGGCCCTAGGCACTCCCTGCAGCCTGACACCTGTAGAGCTGCATCTGCTGTCAGAGGGTCTGTCTGGGTCCACGCTTCAGACACAGCTGTTTGTTCCCATACAGTAGAAATAATCTTCCTTCTGGTCTTTTCTGTTGTCCAACAGGCAAATGTACAGCTCAATGTAGGTGTTGTATTTGGTGTTTAAAGGTCCTATTATGCAAGAACACAAAAGCGAAGTTATCTGTTAAAACCCGATAAAAGTATTCGGCCCTACAAATGCTCAGCTTCCTAAAAAGCTGTGCAAATGTATATTCTATTGTTAGAACTATTGGAGTATTGTGATTGGTTTCTTCCACATGTCAGTCTGACAGACTTGTCCCTAATAACGTGTGTAAATGTATGACAGTATTGAATTCTGTATGTGTGCATAGATATGTGTGTATGTCTGTATTTTATTAGGCCAGGACTTGGTGTCAGCAACTTCCTAAGTCATAACAATGAAGGGTGCACTTTACAGCTTGGCTTAGGGCTGCAAAGTCCATATACTGAATTTTTAACAACTTCTGAATGGATTAGACAAAAATTTTAGAGATCCTTGTTAGGAGTTGTTTTTGAGGATAGCTGTTCTCCATTTCTGGAAGGCCTGTCCCTCAATTTAATATAGAGATTTCTTTAAAAAGAAGTGTTTTACAGTAATGCTACGGTTGCAAGATGGGAGGAGGTTTTAGAAAAGCTAGTTAGGAAAGGTAGTCAGTTGGTTTTTTTGATTTTTTTTTCAACTAAGAACAGTGTGTTTTTGGTTTTGTGTGTATTCTTTCTGTTTGTTTTTTGTTTTGTTTTTTATGAGTGCGATTGCCTTCTGGTAACTAAAATCAGAATTATTGCTTGACTAAAGCAAAACTTTTCTTTGCTGGCTAGCGTTCACTCAACTTTTATCTGATAACTTTTTCTGAAATTTCAGACCTCTCTTCAAAAAGAGTTGAACATCAAATTTCCGTCTTTAGGAGTACCATTTTCATTTAAAAATCTTTTAGAAGAGGAAACAGTGAAGAGCTGTGAAGAGCTGCAAAAATATCTGCAATAGTTTTTCTGTGCATTGGAGGAAGAGATTAAAGAAAAACTATTTTTTAAATTTCACGCACTTAGCTGTAGAAGCTGTTTTGCTTCTCTACTTGTGTTGTAAGTAGATTAGGAACAACGTTCATACCCTATACTTAAGCCGAATGTCCTGCAGTGTGAGGCAGAGAGGGGAGGTGTTTGAAATTGTAGGGAATAAGTAATTTCTGATGTTTAAAAATGCAGCATGTTCTTTGAAAGAATTAAATATTTATAATTTAATTTCTCATGTAGCTTCTAGCAAAGAAATCTATATTATCCAAACACCTGGTGTCTCCATAAGAACAACAGTTGTGGAGCAGTTATATGACAGTAAGTTGTACATGTGTTAGCATGGTTATAGATGAAGGTATATTTCATAACAGAAGGTTTTTCTGCTGCTGTACAAAAAAATTTTTTTTAGTCACAGGGCAGGATCTGAACAATTATGGCAGTGATACATTCAGCCCACAGCTGTTGCTCCTTTCTTACTCTTTGTATAAATATGCCTCTCCCTTTCTTCCGTATTCCTTTTACTGCACCTCCTCAGTTTGGCAGTTGCCTGCTCCCAGATCCTCCACCTGGAGGGGGTGTTCGTGTGGAATGAATCTTGGAACACAGAACTACTGGAGGTAGAGCAGGCTGTAGCTGAGAGAGACTGTGCTGCTTAGTCCCTGTCTTCTCCTGCCTAACCAGGAGCAGAGGGAGCCCTGTGGCTGGCAGCAGCCAGTGCCCAGTAGCAAGTGGTGATAGTTCAGCTGCGGTGATGGTGGACTGTCAGCTTTTCTTCTCTGTGCTTAGCTGGAACCTTTCCACCGCTGCCTCGATTCTGTGCTACCATTTATCCCCTGGCCTACTCCCATCTGCAGTCCCTGCTTAGATCCATGGCCGCATGTTCCTTCCTCTTCCCTGCCCCTCACTAGGTTTGAGAAATACTGCTTTAAGACATAAGCTTCTTTTTTTTTTCTCCTTCTGAATTGCCATTTACAGCACAAGCGTTAGGAGACAAGGAAATTTATTTTATTGTATGGTTGTTAATCAAGAACTGCTTTTAGTATTTATGCAATATCTAACACAGTGCTTCTGTCCTACCTGGGTCTTTTAAGCAGGCTGATAGAAAAATCTACTGTAAATTCTGCTTCTGCATTGTCAAGTGAATTGATCCAGAAAAATGTGTAGTGGTGACTGCCTTCCCATCTGCCTTGCACCTTCTTCCTGCATCTTTGCATGTTGCTTGTCAAGCCCAATGGCAAGTTTGTAGAAAATACGTAAGTAATTATGGAGCTACGTCAGTAGGCAGATTAGATTGAAATGAGTTAAAATGGGTTCCATGCTCAATCATGGGGCATGTGAAGCTCTTAGCACATCTACTCCGGCAAGAAGCCCTCAAAGTGGAAAGAAATATGAACAGGTGACTCAATTTTCACAGCAGATGTTTATATCAAAAATTCATTTAAAAGTATTTATTGTGCATGGTTTCTTTTCACTTAAATCTGTTTAAATGATATTCCTAACAGTAGCTGGGTCTTGTTGAAAGTTGTTTAATGTTCCTTTTTCCTTAGGAAACCATATTTTTGACAAGATGGTTGTGTTCATACCTCGTTTAATAGCATCCATGCTGTGAGTTTTGATGTCTTTGCTCTGGTTTCTTTATTCATGTTGCTTTCAGTTCTTCCTTACTTTAATAAAAGTTTCCGGGATTGTACTTAATTGATTTGTCACTCAAGGAGAATCAGCACTTCAAGCAATTAAGTGTGGAAAAATACTAGGTAACAAAGACATGAAGATTTTTATCCTTATCCTAGTTATGAAAAATCCATTATTCATTATCATACTGTTTTTAAATACTGAAGTACAATTTTCCAACACAATAGGAAAATTGCTTTTGAAACAGAATAAAATTGCTTGCCAGTTCAGAGGCTGTATTTTGAAGCCAGGATTACAAACATGATGGTGCTTATGTTCATTATCTTCACTACTTGGTGAAGCTGCATATTTAAAAGTGCAAAGCTAGATACTGATTGTGGAAAAAATATTTGTTTATAACATAATGGCACAAAACACTTAAAGCAACTATGATTACGACATCAATGTCCTAATTACCAGATTTACAAGAGTAGTTTTAGATATTAAGCGTGTCTGTAAATGTGTTCACTGCCAAGTTTTCTTTCCCATAATTCTCTTCCATTAACTTGCTCCTTCAAGAGAGACTTTAACTATGTTTGCTTTGTTGCCTTTGTATATAAAGCAAATTATTTTATGAATCAGTCACATTTTCTTCACAAACTGACTTTTCCTTAAGGTCAACTTTATTCAAAAGTAAAAGAGATCTATCAGTTTGCAGTATGTTGTTGTATTTTCAGATACAGCTGGTGGATTGTGGTTTCATTGGATCATGTTACAAATACAGTATTAGTTGATCAGATATCTACCAGCAGAATACAATGCAATGAAAAGCTCTGTGATAAAGCAAGTAAATGTAATAGTATAGTTGCCAAATTTAACCAGGACAGATTTTGAAAGCGCTGAATGTGAATCTGTTTAAACGCAGGCCTATCTTACTGAAACTCTTAGCATAAAATAATGTCTTAGTTTTTTAATAAGCAGCAGTTTTATCATCATGTATAATGTTTGAGTGTTAAAATTGGTCTAGTTTAAGAGTAATCATATTGCTTTATATAGTATATGTATTAAGCTGTAATAATTGCCTTGTTTTGAGAAGTTACTTTTGCATAGAGTTCGTAAGGAATCATTTACAGTAGCAAAAATGGAAAATGTACTGCCAGACTGTCATATTAAAATAAGCATCAGATGGAGCTTTTTACAGCCAACGTTGCTATAGTTCAGGTTTGTCATGTTTGTTCTAAACTCTATTTTCCTTTTTGAAGTGAGTAGTGGTAGCAATAGTTAATTCTGAAAGCGTTTTCCATTATAAATGCCATATTTTCACATGACTAACTTTCTGGAAAGTCATAACTTGGAACAAATCTTTTTTAATTTGAAGCTTTTTTGCTATATTTTCTGCTGTGTTACTCTGCTTTTACATTATTTGAAACAAATGAAGCTTTGTTGTTGCTTTTTTGTTTTTGTTCTGTTTTTTTTTTTAACCTCTGCAAGGCCTGATGTGATTAAGGTTCCAGTGCTCGCTTTGGCTTGCATCCTGTTCTCTTCTCTCACCTCCCCCCCATTTAAGTATTATCGGTCTGCTCAGACCACTTTAGAAAATAAAATTGCTTAATAAAGTCCCGTACCAAGTGATTCAAAGGTGGTGCAGAAAGCACTGAGGGCATGCATAACCTGCCAACCGAAAGAAGTGTCTAATTAGTGCCTGATTAACCAATATTGTTTTCTTCCTTATTAGATCTTCGTTATACACTAGCTATGTAACAAATTCACGTTAGCACTGTTAGTAAAGTATGTTGTCTACTTTTTCAGTAGAAAATTTATTCTATGGTATGTTAAAAAATATATATATATCCTGGCATCCAAAAGATTAGTAAGTGTTTTAATATATTCCTGTACAGAACTGGGCACAATACTTCTGTATCAAGGCCAAAGGAAAGGCTTTCAAATTTTGTGTGTTAAATATACAATAAGCTGAGAAAATGTGAAATCCAGTGATGGTGCCTTTTCATGTTTAGCACTGCTGTTTGTAATGCTATCCTCTTTTCAAAATAGAGGGTTCCCCTATCAAGATTTTAAGGACTCCCATAACTTCAGAACTGCTTTGCATACTGTTATGTGTCCTTCCTGGATTGCCCCATGCCGTTGCTGCTCTTCCCACAATAAGAATCAGACCCTCGAGAATGTTGCGGAACTGTTCTGCAGTCTCCTTAAGCTCGCTGTCATTATTTTTCCTAGAACTTTATATTCTGATAATGCACAACCCTTTTGATTGTTTTCTGATGTATATCATAAAGTCAAACTTTACATTTGTATTTCAGGTTTTGAGGCTATTGGTATACTGTGCATTTCTTAACCTCTGTATAAATTTCTGCTGATGAATGATTGGTTTGGGATTGATTAGTTTATGACTTTTCTCCATCCGCAGAGTAAACTTTTACCTTGCTTAATTAGTATATTAGTAAGTTCTTACTGCTTGTTCGAAGACTTACAGGGAACGTGTAAGCCCACCTAAGAAGGTGAGAGAATGGGCTGAATTCTTGGGGTATGAGAGAAATATTTTTATTCTATAGGGCTGCATAAATTCAAGCACACCACATTCCTGGATACTGGAATACAATACCTGGCATGATACGTGGTGTATCCTGGCATGAGGTTGGACTTTTCCAGTATTTGCTCTTCCTGGATGTTTCCCAGGCAGTTGGAGCAGTCTAGAGACCTTTCCAGTTAGATGGTTTGCAAGGAGTCACACTGTTTTTGGCAGCTGAGGCAATTTTAAGAGCATGGATGCAGGCTGCTCTCTGCTGTTTAACTGTAATGCTTGGGAGTGTTCCAGGCACCTGCAGTTTATTGGTGTGGATGTAGCCTAGGCATGTACCTCGGATGTTTAGTGCTGATACGGTGCATTTCTGCATGGGCACAAATATATCAGTGAACAAATCTTTTTTGGTAACGACTATTGTATTAAAAGATCTATTTTTTTAGGTTGCTGGGGGGGTGGGAATCATGCAGTCCCAGGATGCACAGTGTAGGAGATAATGAAATAATAGTTTTTCATAAAAATCAAACTTACTAGTTCCAGAGTTTCACCTCTGCTAAACACTCGTGTTTTTTTGTGACTCAGCCCTTTCCCTTGATTTTTCTGAGCTCTAGGAATTATACTGTACTACTCCTAATGCAGGAATAAATTCAAATTAGATAAATCATAGGTTGCACAAAGAAAAGACTGATGATAAACTACTACTTTTTCCAAACAGTAAAAGTATTTAAGAGGTTTTAAAAAATCCATGTGCAGAATATTTTTCATTAATTCTGGTGATACTGGTGAGATGCTTTTTCATAAACTGGTCCTATTTAAAGACTACTTAACTACCATTTCTAAGTATCAAGCAGTGTGTGTGTGTATGTATATATATGTACACACAGATATATATATGTACAGACATGCACTTTTTGCCTTTTTTTTTTTTTGGTAAGCATTCATGCATCCAACTTTTCTGGCCATTTCATTTATGTAGTTTGAACATACAATATTTTGATCTTTATTGTGCATTTTTGTTGATGTTTCTTAAGATTATTGTATTTAAACTATTGTATACGTGTGGGTGATCTTTGCTTGACTGTGACATTTGAGTCCTTTTTAAATATTTTCCAATTAATATTCTTATTTTTTTAATAAAAGCTGTAAAAGTGAACCTGAGTAATAGCACAGTTCCTCCCTATTTTTATGCCATTGAAGAGGTGATTAAAACTGAAGAAATAATTCAATTTACATATATTTGGGGGAATTCCCCTATCAAATAATCAGATTGTCCTGGGTGCAAATGTTACACAATTGTAAAATTTGAAATGGAGAATAGTTCCTGAAAAAGAGCGAGCCATCGTTAAGCTTAGTGTTGTTTTCACAGATTATACAGGCAAGTCTTGTTTTGACTCGTTTAGTATTTCTGTATAGAGTTATAAAAGTGAGTAACTATTTAGTAGTTAAAGCAAAGATTTTGATGAGCCATGTAGCAGTTGTGACTCAGGTCTACGTAGACCAGAATAGACATAGGTACATTGGGAAAGCAAGTTGAAGGAGCTCAATCAAGATGTAAGGTTTACACTTTCAGAAAGCTCAATAACTTATATCTCCTATAAACTCTACCAACTAAATACATTTGGTTAAACATCTTACAAAGTATCCTTTGAATAGGATGAAGTTGCACTCTCTGTGTACAAATTACTTTTTAGCCAAATGAGAATTTCCTTTAGAATGATTTGTACCAAGCTGGTTGCAGACCACTTGTGCTGCATTACTCGTTCTTTGACTCGAATTATAATTTCTTGTTGATGTGTTAGCACAAATATGTTAGGTGGTTAAATGAAAATGTCTTTGATAAAAATTCCATATGGCAAAAAATAACTTTCTTTACTTCAAGCGATTCACAGTAATAAAATAATGGTATGTTGGTTATTTATTTGGTGTTTTTATTTCATTTTGCCAGGTACCAAGTAGAAGATGAGTCCTCTCATTTGGATGAAATGCCCCTAATGATGTCAGAAGAAGGCTTTGAAAATGATGAGAGTGACTACCACACTCTACCAAGAGCCAGAATTTCTCAGAGAAAGAGAGGCATAGAATGGTTTATCTGTGGTGGCTGGAAATTCCTTTGCACGAGGTTTGTTATATACCAGCACTTTTTATTTTACCATTCAACAAATTAAGCAAATATTGATTTCGTATATTATATGGAATGTACAGAGTACAAGAACACAATAATTTGCTTGTAATGTCTTTTGACTACTTTGCTTGCATTTTCCAAACTAACCCAATACCAACAGTTGAACTTAAAAAATACATACATGCGTATGTATATACATACCCACACCCACCCACACACATATATATAAAAATAAATCTCCAAGAAACTGCTGCTGTGAACTCCTCCTATCTGCTATGCTGACTTAATAAAAAGAGAGTTTTAAGAGAGGTCATGAACTAAACTTGTACTACTGAGGCCCATAATTGGCAATGTATGGGCCTGGTCCTCATTTCACTTAAAACCAAATCAGGAGGAAGTGACTATAAGTTCCCTTGACTTTGAGGGTGTTAATGTGTTTACAGTTAACAACGCACAGATCTGATGTTGCTGAAAATAAAAAGCAAATTCGTTAACTAATGATTAGTTAATGCTTCAACTTTAAAGGCTACAGAATATATGTAAGTGATGGCCTTAGAGTGAATTATAGCTAGCATTAGCTCTTGTGACTTGGTTCTCATTTATAAACCTTTTGTGCTAAACTCCCGTGTTTGGAGTTGCTTTAGAACTTGTAACTCTGTAATGAATTACTAATACGTTTCTAAATATAGAAGTTGCTATCAGGATCGTTGAATTCAAATAGTACTTACAGTTTTCATCTTAATAAAATTTGAGAATCCATCAAGTGAAATGGGTGGAACGTTTTCCACGAACATTGAGAGAATGAGTGCTTTTTTGCCAAATTACTTTGGAATTGGTTTGGATACAAGTCTTCACAGGTCGTTTTCATGACGCTCACTAAATTCCAAGAGGTATGAAAGAGATATTCCACCTGAGAAATCAAAATTTATATTTGTGCGCTTTTAGTTTTGAAATAATTTGGTTATAGTGCTTTAATCTTTCCAGAAAAATAAAATCTATATTGATGCCTTTTTTCTACAATGACTTAGCAAAAATTCAAATGTTCTTTATTTTATTATAGGGAATAAGTGACTGGAAAGTAGCAGGAAGGATGTAAGGAAACAGAGTTAATAGGAGCATACATAATTGATTTTAGGAGCCAAGTTTGTGTTGCAGGACTATCATTATATATATATTTTTAAACACTTAAGTATGTTAACGTGTTTTGTTAAATTTTGGGAACGATCTTAAAATTTGGATGCCTTTCAAACACTCTAAATTTAGATAAGTTCAGACCTTTGAGTCTAAGTTACTATGACAAACAGACATAGTTTTTTATGTAGCTCTAACGTACATATGAGCAATCTTTGTTCATTGAATGTTTTACAGGACTTCAGTCATGAGACCTGATTTTTAGGTAACTGTTTTGAAACATGCTGAATAAAACTGTTCTGTCTGTAATTGTATCGTGCATTTTAACATTTGGTTTTTGAAGGAAATCAGACTCACAACGATGGTCATTCTCAGTCTTTGTGCATGCATCGCTTTTTCTGGTGATTTAAACAAACCTTGACTGAAGGATGGGCATTTCAATTACATTCTTATAATTTTCATGGAAACAGACTAGTAAAGAAGGTGCCTTGTACTGGCCCTGACCAAGGCACTGAAAAATGTACAGTGTATAGAGAGGGACAGGCAATTACAAGAAGAGTTTCATTTGGAATTCATTAACAACCATAAGAGAAAAGTTCATAAGAAAGTGTCGTTGGTGCAGAGGGTTGCAAAATTCCATGTTCTTAATTGCTTTTTGCCCTTGATGGATACTTTTCAGCTTTAAGTGGAGTTCAAGCCTTGAAACTTTCAAGCTTAAAAAAGAAAAGTTTAATTGAGGTAGTTGAGCCATACTTATGTTTGGATTTTTAGGAATGAAAAGAGCAAGATGGTGCATTATGGATAAGTTATTTTGCTGTCTTTTTGTATAGCTTTATTGGCAACACAGATGCGTAAAAGAAAAGCCCTCACTAAGGAAGAAGCGGAGTAGTGTGATTTCTGCCTCACTCTTTTTCTCAACTGAATTTTAAGAGGTTAAGAAGTGAGTCAGTCTTGTGTATTTATACATAGAAGCATTTTAATCATCTTAGTATTTTCTGCAGTAGAGCATGGTAGCAGATAATTTTCATTTTAATAGTTTTTCTTGTTTGTCTCATGAAAAAAGAGGCAGAGACCGGACCCTAGCAGAAGCTTGAAACTTCACCAAGACTTTTAACAGGCTGCCTAGGGGTAGAAATCTAGTTAGCCCCAAGCTGGGGAAAATTAGTTTGTAGTCAAGGATGTGCACTGAGTGTTAATAGTTCTTTTTGGTGATTTCTTGTATTATAATAAAACTTTTGTGAATGGTTATTGGGGTGCACTGAATGCTAGTTTGAAATGCCTACTTCTTGTCATTCGTAAAGTTGCCTAGGATCATGCAGAATACCATACTGGTAACCTGGAGGCTACTGTATTGCCATATGTGCAGTTATTACTTATACTGTGCAGTGGAATAAGTTGCATTATTTTTATCCAGAGAAGGATAACAGCTTGGTAGAGAATTAGGTCTTAATGCCTTCACATTTGAAATGGAGAGCATCATGTGAGGAAAACATGATTTTCATGTTTGCTCATTGTAGGTGATGATCTTATACACGCTCCACAAAGAATTGAAGTTTACTTATTTCCAGAAGGCAAGCTGCATTCTTTACAGTGTGATAGGAGACTAGATACATCATCACAGTCTGAAATTTGTTTAATTCAACAGGAATTAATATTTTATCCTGCTTATAGGTAAATTAGTATTTCAGAGCTGAAATCTGGTGAGGTTGGAATTTCAGCTTCTGCATCCAGAATTTCCTTTTATGCTTTGAATTAAGCTTTAGGTTTGTCAGACCTATGACAGGAAGATGAGCACAGTAAGAGACTCTGAATCCCTATAGTGCTAAGCTCAAGGGGCCCCTAATTTCTTTTGGGTTCTCATTGAAGGCCTTATGCTGGAGTTTAAAAATCACTTTACTGGTTACAAGCAAACGGTAATCAAAAAAAAAAAAAAAAAGCCCAAACCTATTAATTTTTTTTCAGTCGTACGTTGTTAGAACTAGTCTCATTTTTGTCAACATGATTGGAGGTTTTCCCTCTCTTATTCTGGAGCCTTAGAAGTTTGTATTCTGTTGGTTTTGTTACTGTATTATTGCTAAATCATCATAAACTGTTCTTGTTTAATTCAAAATTTCACCCTTTTGGCAAGAACAAGTATGGAAGTTAAATGTATGTTAAAATTGGTTTTATACAGTGAAATCATTTATGCAGCTTCTGCATAGACAAGCAGACTGTGGTTGACCAGTGGTATGCACGTTATTAGTAAATCTGCAGTCTTTTAAACACTGGATTTTTTTGCCTTTGCAGAAAAAAAAATCATAATTAAATGAAATGTTGTCTTTGATTTTGAACAAACTGGAGATTTAATTCAACCGATATAACTTTTAACTTCTAGAAACTGCTTATTTCTTGCTTTCATAGCACTGTTAAAAGAAAACTTTGTGATATAGCAGCTATTTTGTGGCTGTAATCATTTCCCCTTTAACTTACAAATTCTCTTCAAGCTTGTGAAATTATAATGCACGTAGATCAATACTCTGGAGTTCTTTGGGCTGGATTGATTTCTTTCTCATGAGATTTACATTCCACTTGTTATCAAAAAACACTTTGTCCCTATGAAAATGGTGCCATTGAATGGCATTTCCATATGAAGTGAAGGGGATATCAAATGCTCGGATTAATTTGGGCTTTAAGATGGCCTGTACGCTTTCAATTAATCTGCAACGCATTTGTTATGCAGAAGCATGGGAAAATGCTGATCTTTTAAGAATGACATGACTACTGTGTTGCTTTTGGCCTGATTACTGAAGCTACCTGTTGAGTACAATAATTACAGTATGTTTTCTTTGCAGAACTAGTTTCTGCTACTTAAAACCTAATAAGGAATGGCTGACCCTTGCAGACAATGTAGAGCTTTTATATTATCTTTCCTTTCTGATGAAAATGCTCTTTTGTGAAAGATTCTGACAGTTAAGCTTGTAGGATAAAGTAAAGTAAAGAAAAGAAAAGAAAAACTCTTATTAGAGCTGTGGAGTCAGTTGAGACTTTTACTTTAGCTTTTGACTTGGAGAGATATGCTCTATTTGTGGGAAAAGTTAAGGATCCTTCTTTAACAATTGCAGTCTTTTTTATACATATAAAAATCGGTTACTAATATGAAAAATAGGGTGGTGGTTCCTTCAGACAAAGAAAAGTTTGTTAGGAAGCAGATTTGTAAGAATACACTCAATAGATACACCTTAAAGTTCCATCACCTATTAGTTTATTTCTTCATATTTACAGTGTATTACATTGATTCAGGCAACATAACTTATAGCTAATTTAAAAGAAAAACTTTCTATGCATCTGTTGGATTTTCTAGGCAAAGGCATTTGAAAAATGTTTAAATATATAAAAAATAATGGGATTTTTAACCAAGTTCTTCTAATTGATGACTTTGTTGTGTGAGGTATAGTCTTACATTAAGGATTTCAGTAATATTTTAAGGAAAGCCTTGATCATGACACATCTTGCATTAAGTTTTTTAGATTTTTTTTTTTCAAAGTCCAGAAAGTGCTATTCTGATTCTCTACTGCTATTTTTCACAGGCAGGTTTAGAGGTTCCGAAAAGCCTATGAAAGAACCAACGTCCTTGCACAAAAATATTTTCAGTATTGTGGAATGTTGACATGAGAACAGATTTAAGTGCTTGTTGGATTTTAATAGTCTCAGTGTCAAAAATATAAGACTTTACCATTCTTAGAAATCTGAAT